GCCTACGCGCACCGGGCGCCCGCCGGCGGCAGCGAGGGCGGCAGCGGCCGCAGCAAGGTGTCTCTGGCCACCGTGCGCCAGGACCTGGCCATCTAGGAGTCCTCAGGCGGAGGTTGGAGTCAGAGGCCGGTCCCCGCCGCCGCAGCCCTTACCGCAGGGGCAAGAAGTGGCTTCTGCAGGAGACACGCGGGGGAGTGGCCCGCGGGCCAGCCTTCCGTCGCACGTGCTTCGTGCGCCCAGCCCGCGGGGACGCAGAGTGGACTGAGGCAGGTCCAGATGCCTTGAGCCCGGCGGAAAGGAAGGCAGTCGGGGAGGGCGGGGGCTGAGAGAAAGCGGGCCGGCGGGAGCAGAGCCGAGGGGAAAGTGGAGGTTCAGGGGGTCACCTGGTTGCTTTACTGGGGACAAAATCAACTGAGACACCAGCATCCCGAGGCCTTGTGTAGACTGGGTGGGCTCTCTGTGTATGTGCACACATGTACACATGTATACAGGGGAGGCGTGTGCGTGTGCGCATGTGAAACCTCTGTGAACCCTTTTGTGTGTGCATGCATGTCATCCTGTGTGAGCTCTGTGTGCACGTGTGTACGCACATGTACAGCCTGTGTGGACATGTGTGTGCCCTGTGTGAGCTCTGTGGGGGGGGGATCTCTGATAGGCACTTTGTGGGTGGCCAGGATCAGTGCCAGCAGCAGCCACAGTGGCTCCTTCCCTACCTGCAAGGGCACCACAGGAAGGTCTCCCCTCCTGATGGAGCCCACACAGGAAGGGGGGGGAGGGAGGCGCCCTGCACCCTGAGCAGGCCTCCCTCTGGCGGGTAGGGCTTGTGAGCACGGTCCACAGGTGGGCCCTGCCAGGGGTTGAGCAGTGGGTCAGAGGACAAGACTCTGCTTCTAGCTGCACTGTCCTCACCCTGCTGCTCTTTCCCCCAGTTCATATGCATGGTTCAGTCCCTTCCATACTCGGAAGGAATCTGCCCCAAAACGTCCTGGCCCTGCAGCCACCATGCTCTTCTCTCCTGGAGAAATACAAAGAGCTGTGGACAGGCTGCCTCCTGTCCTCCACCTGTCTTTCTCCTTTACTGCCCCAGTGGGGCTGCTCTCCATAAGATCACCCAGGACCTAAGTGACATCAAGGGGCCACCATCTGACTGCGCCCCGGGCTCCATCAGACCGTGCTGAGCAGGCTGCTATGACCCACTCTGGCTGATTTTCTCCTACATCCCTGGCCCTCCCCTCCCCTCTCTGTCCTTAATGCCTCCTCCTCGGCTCTCCTGCCTGGACTCCACACAGCAGTCGGAGGGGCCTTCCTAAATAGCCCCCTATTACTGCCCTGCAGGCTCCCCTGCTCTCAGAGTAAGTCCAGCACCTGAAGAAAGCTCCTGAAGCCCTGCTCTGCCCCTCCCCCCCCACTGGCCCTGCTTCTCAGGCCCCATCGCTCTGGCTTCCCCTGGTTTCCGTGCTCCAGTCCATACGGAAGTTTCTCTTCCTACCAAGCACAGTGACCAGTTTTGCTTCCAACTGTTTGAACGTGCCATACCTCTGCCTGAAGCAGCCTCCCTCTCTGCAGCCACCCTTTCCCATCTCTAGCTAATGCCTACCAGCCTTTTGGTCTCACTTGGGAAGAAAATAGATGCCTTCCCTGCTGCCCCCCCCCCAGTCAGAGCTAGATGCTCCGGGGTACCTGTGCTTCCCTAGGCAGAGCACTTCTGCTGGATGGCATCGTGCTCTCCTCTCTGCCCATAGGAGGTGCTTAGTAAATTTGTGTTGGATGAGGAACTGAAGGTGTCCCCAAGGCCCGAGTGCTAATCCACACTCACCATGTGTGTCACTCTCTCTCTGATAATAGACACTATCTCTCTGCAGCCTGGACCCCTCCACACAAACTCAAACCTAAGTGCCCAGTTGTTTTCCAGATGTACCCCTTCAACAAATTTTTGTTGAGCACTTAACTATATGCTAGGCAGTGCTCAAGATCAGCACTGCCCTATAGAAATAGGATGTGTAATTTCAAATTTTCCACTTGCCACATTAAAAAGGAAAAGGAAACAGGTGAAATTAGCAATATATTTTCTTGAACACAATATATCCAAAATATTTCAGCACATCATCAATATAAAAAATATATTAAGGAGATATTTTATATTCTTTGCTTTGCACTGCCTTTGTAATCTTGTGTGTGTTTTGCACTTGGAGCCCGTCTCAGTTTGGACCAGCCACATGTCAAGACTCAGTTGCCACATGTGGCTAGTGGCTGCTATATTGAACAGAGCAGATCCAGATGTTGGGCTACAGTGGTGGACAAAACCCACCCTCATGGAGCTTACATTCTGGTGGGGAAAGCAGGTAATAAGTATAGAATATACAGCAGGTCGAAGTAAGAGTAAGGGGAGAGAAAGAGACATCCTTGAGGAGTGACACTGTAACAGAGTGTAGCTAGGGCCTAACCATGAAGCTGTCTCCAGGAAGAGCATTCCAGTTGGAGGGAGTGGCAAGTGCAAAGGCCCCGAGGCTCAGGAATATGCTGGGGGTGTTTGAGGCCAGTAAGGAGGCCAGTGTGGCTGGAGTGGAGCAAGGGACAGGGAAGGCAGGGGTAACCAGCACCTCAAATGCAACCTCAGCATCCTTAGTTCTCTCAGTTGCTGGTGTCTTCACGCACCCAAGCCACCTGCACCCACTATTGCTGTAGCCTGTCCACTGCCCACCTTCCCCATCCCATCAATCACCTGGTCCATCCTTATTACCGTCTGAGCATTTTCTCCCCTCTTCCACTCTTCTCCACCCCTTCAGAAGCTCCCCAGGGTCAGCCCAAAGTACTCCCACAGCCTCTACTCCTGCCCCCTGCAATTCCAGTCTGAACACCTCCCTTGCTGGCTTAAGATCCTTCACTCCCATCACCTCAGGATCAAGTCCAGCTCCTCAACTGGCCTTGACCTGATCTGTTCCAACCTCTACAGCCTCATCTGTTCCACCATTCCAACCAAAAACTGAAAATTGTTAAAAACACAGAGCTGGAGATAGTTTTTAATCACATGAAGCTATTTATTACTTCTGCAACCCACCTGACTAACTCTTCCCTTTAGAGCTTTAGCTGGGAGGGGGGCACCTCTTCCAGGAAGCCTTCCTAGTCCTGTTCCAAGCCCGGTTAAATTTCTCTTCCCTGGGCTCCTATATGCCCAAGCAAGACCCTGTCGCTGTCCTTCCCAAGTTGTATCCCAGTCACCATCCTTGGGTCAATTCTCCCTCAGGAAGGACAGAGCGTGGCACCACACAGAGCACATGTCAGCCCTCGAGGACCAGACTCCGCAGCAGTGCTTCTCAACAGGGGGACACTTGACAAAGTCTGCAGACATATTTAGTAGTCACAGCTGGGGGGAAGGTGCAACTAGCTTCTCATGGGCAAAGGCCAGAGATGCTGCTAAACGTCCTACAATGCTTAGAAGGCCCCTCAATAAAGAATTCCCAGGCACAAAATGTCACCTGGGCCATGGCTGAGAAACTGCTCAGCAGCCATGAACTGTGAGCCATTGCGGGCAACCTCAGGCTCTGGGGGGTCCCAGCAGCAAAGGTACTACCCCGAAGGGGGCACTTTGTAAATGTAGGTGCCACAGCTCTAGTCATCACATGAGGGGGACCCTGTTGGCCCTTAGTGGGCAGGGATGAGAATGCCAAGAGGTTCTCACATGCTAAAGAATTGTCACACTTGACTTTAGAATGTTCCACTGAACATTTACATAGTGAAAACCTCACTGTTTTACATATAGGCCATTAAGGGTTTCGTTTGGGGATTTTTTTTCATGGGTTTGTTATACACTGTCAGTTTTTATTTCAACACCCGACCATACTCGTTAACTTCCCTGCGCTTCATGTACACAATAGCTTCTGACCTTTTCAATCCACATGTGTTCATTAAAAACAGAAGCAAACGGGACTACTGTCATTTCTGCCATGTGGTTGTTCCCAAGCATTTACATATTGAAATTCATAGTACTTTTCCTTCATTTCTCCTTTACAATGCAGTGTGATAGCATACGGTGTAGGTATGTTGTGTTAAATTTCATTTCAGATTCACAGAGCGCGAGAAAAATGAGAGGAACAGAGCCTCTGTCTGCGCCCCGGCTCCAGCCAGGGCCAGGTGATGAGATAAGCGAGGAGCTGCCGCCACCTTGTGGCTGATGTCGAAATGGCAGGCAGACCCCCGTGGAAGAAACCCCTTCCCGCCCAGCGCCATGCCAGCTCTTCCCAAACATAGCTTCTACTGCCACCTCCCCAGACCCCCCAGACCTCGGTGTGTGGCGCTTCTTTCAGGACATCAGAGCTCCAGGAAAGAGCCCTGGCTGAGAGGTGGGAGCCCTGAGTACTGGTCCCGCATCTGCGACTTGCTGTGTGAGCCTGGACAAGGGCACTGCCCTCTCTGAGCCTTGACGTATAGGGTGAGGGGTGGGAAGAATTAGTCTCTGAGGACCCTTGAGAACTGCCACACTCAGTCCTCTCAGCCAGGAGCATCCAGGTTCTCCTGCAACCTGCGTCTATGCTTCCTGCTCACGGAGCAACCTTAGGGGTTGGCAGAGGGCAGGACAGTCCTCTTGGAGGCAGAGGGATGGCAGGCTGGCCTCCTAAGCTTCTATCCCACTCCTGTGTTCTTTTAAGATTGCCATGAGCCCTTGATCCAGGCCCCCATGCCAACTACCACCCTGCTGTGAAGGTCAAGTCTGTGTTCACTCTAAAAATAGAACTCCTTGCCCTGGCTGGTGTGTCTCAGTGGTTAAAGCATTGGCCCCTGCACCCAAGGGTCTGGGGTTCGATTCCAGTCAAGGGCCCACTTGGGACTCATGCAGGATGCAACCAATTGATGTCTTACATTGATGTTTCTCTCGCTCTCTTTCTCTCCCTCCCTTCTGCCCTTTCTAAAAACCAATGGAAAAAATATCCTCAGGTGAGGATTAAAAAAGAATAATAAAAATAGAACTCTATTAAATGACCTCCAGATCCAACCTCTGACTTCCCAAGGGCTAGGAACTATGAAGGCTTCCTCCCTCAGATTGGGGGCAGTTTCTCCCCCTCTCCCTTCCCCATCTCCAGACTGGGGCTCCCTGACACCGACCAAGGGCTTCCCAAGAGCAGGCCTGTCTCCTGCCACAGGGTCTCAAAGACAGCAGCACAATAAGAGGCCCCAGTGCTCATATCTGACACCCCGGCCCCAGCCCCCTGCCCAGATGCTGAGAGAAGGCGGGTCAGGCAGCAAGGCTGAGGCATGTGTAGAATAAATATAACTTTATTCTTTATCCAGATTTCAGTGGAAAGTCCAACAGTAACAGGTGCACCAGCGG